AGAGAGCCCAGTGAGAGGAAAGGAGCCCAGAGGCTAGGGGCCCAGAGTGTGAGGGACATGGAGCCTAGCGAGGGGCATAAGCAAAGAGGCAAGAAGCTCAGAGCCTAGGAGCCCCAACTGTGTGTGTGGGACAAGAAGCCCAGTATGAGTAAAGGGCACAAAGTCCAATGAGTGTGGCCACAGTTAGGGGTTAGGAGTATGATAACATCTTGGATGCCATCTGTGAGGCATGGGCCACAGTGGAGGAAAGGTTCAGAGCTGTGGATAGCACCCCCGTAGGGAAGGTACGGAGCTGTGGATAGCACCCCCCAGCATCAGGGCATATAATGGGCAGTCTCCCGTATTTACCACCAGTTTATTGTAATAGTAAAGTCATGGAAGGTGAGACTAGGCAGACTGCCTGATGGCCAGGTGGGCGGGCACACTTGAGACTCGGCCCCAATCTTGCTCCCTGTCACAGCAATTTCCGGTCTAGAATAGTAGATATCAATCTTTAATTACATAATCACAGGAGACAGAACAATTTGTTCCCTCCAGTGGAAGCGTGGAGTGTAATTGGGTGGGAAACTTCTGTTGCTAATTTTGTGCATCAGCTGCCTCTGGGTCCTGGCCTGTGGTTTTCAGCACATCTTGTTCATGTTTTGAGCCTAGGAACTAAAGACCAAGCTGAGCATGTCCAAGCCCCCAAATACTTCCCTAAGTTTTTGATTTTTTTTTCACTGACTTTAGCTTTCATTGTAATAGTAACTTCTCACATAAAATTGTTTTTAATATCAGCAGGTACTGTCTGAGGTCAGATCCTGAGGCTTCTCTGCCCTCCAAAACCTTCTGGAATCTGCACTGTAAGTAACTTTGATTGACACTTTCTTTCTTTCATTGAGGTTATGGGTTAAAATCAGACCAGGAACTTAATATTTTGTTCCACCACCTTGTGTAAAGAAACAGCCAACAATGAACTCAACAGAATTTAAAATTAAGTGAAAGTCTAATTAGATTATATCAGAATGTGACAAAGGAACACTATAATATGACATGTCACTTAATTAGTCTTTATTGATTGTGCATTAAGAAAGATTTCATATGTAATGTGTGCAATTAGCTCTGTGACATTGTGTGATTGGCATGGATTTGAAGAGTGTGAAGCTGACATTTGTAGCAGGAAGTTTTCCTCTTCCTGTGTAAATGAAAAGCCAAATGTACCACTTAGACAAACAGAGGCTCTAGCTATCCCTGTTCCTATGTGTATGCAAAGAATGTAGCCTCCATACTACATATGCAGTATTTTGCTGTCCAGTGCACTATGCATATACAACCTTTTTCATCTTCTCTCTGATCAGAGCAACATTTACATATGTTGCTGTACGTGCTGTAGTGTTAATGCTCCCAGTTAACTACATGGCCTGAGTTACAAAATAAAGTTTTATAAAGCCTTCATGTCCATGAGTTGTTCCATGGACTGAGCAAGTTATCTTGCCTGGGACTGGTCAAGTTTAATCTTGTGCATTAGGAATTAAGAGAGGTGGAAAAAATAAGAAAAAAAAATAAAGCACCACATTTAAAGTAGCCCTCTTCAGCCCAGCCTTAAGGTTGAGCACTCAGTTCTTCTCATTGGCCGAGTTGTTTTCTGGATATGTTCAGTTGGTCTTGACATGAATTTACACAAAGACTTGCATTGACTTCTCTGTATGCATTGTCCAGACCATCTCCCCATGGTATACTCGATCCTCATTTTTTGGCCTTTGCTTTATTTTGTAAGGTATCCATAAGAAATCTCCTTTGACTATTAAATAATCCATGGAAGTAAAAGTGATTAACTGATGTCAGTGAATATCATTACCTCTATGTAAAAATAGATTAACTGTAACAAATATTTGCATGAATCATTAAAATGGTTAACCTGATATCATATAACATCATAAAGACAGCTGAGCAAGACGTGCAGAGCCTCATTACCTGGTGGCTCACTCATTTATGTCCTTTCTGAGTTAGTGATTGAAGATGGTAACTTGCAGGGAAGCTCAGTTAGGTGGCTATGCTTGTCTGTCTCTTTGTTCTTGATGGCATAACACTCCTTCTTGAGTAATTAATTCAATAAAACAACCCTTAAACTTCTGTACTTGTGCCTGAAATTTCTGTCTTAATAATGCTATAAGGCAGGAGGAGGTCATGATTGAATAAAGGACTCAGAGGTGAGATATTACAATGCCAGTTGTTGATTGTTCTAGAGCAACAGCCAATGAAAGGGTTACTTAGGGCCTTGTTACACCTTACACTGTGAGCTGCACAAATATTGATGGGTGTTAGTGCTAGCTTGAGTTTGGAGCAGTTACACTTTCAGATCTGCAAAGGCCTGGAGGACTGAAAGGTAAGAATCCCTCCCTTCCCATTTCAGGCTTTCCCCCAACCCACCTTTGGGCTCCTTCCTGGCCCTTGGGAGTTCCCCCCATCCCCTGCCCCTGGGGCATTACTTTATTGTGGCTGCCTACATTGTCTGTTCCAGGGGAACAGGTAAGGAAGGGTTATCCTGTCTGTCCAGCTGTCACTGCTGCCAGGCTGCTGTTCTTCTAGCTCAGAGAGCTGTGGTGGTAGCAGCCAGGCAGTCACGTTAACCCTTTCCTGCCTGATCCCTGGGAGAGATGGTATGGGCAGCCACGTAAGTGGGTGTGTGGGGACTGTGAGCAGGGATCTGGGATGCTGGGAAGGAGCGGGGGAACAGTGAACCTGATCTAGGCCAGTGTGGGTGGGTGCGTGGGGTGTTTACACCTGGAGCATCTCATGTATCAGTGTCCCCATGCTTCAAAATGGCAGCGGGGGTGCTTTATCTACAGCTCGTCGATCAAGCTTGAAAGTGCCCCTGCTACTATTTTGAAGCATGGCAGTACTGAGACATGAGACACATAGGCTGGTTGGAGCACAGTAATTACTACGCTACAGCAGACTCAATTAATCTAATTACAGCATGTTGGAGCAGCCTCCACACTCGTGTACAGGCACCCATATAGCCCAGAGTCCTTTTCCTCCTGCACAGTAAGTTACCTCCTAGTTAGCTCATATTTACTGAAGCCTTAAAATGTTTGTGCAATATCTACACTGGTACCTCATTCCCATTCAGGAGATGGTTTAACTCCTCATTTCTGCTCCTGTTTTTTTTCACATAGGAAGCTGGAGGTGTTCCCTATGTTAGACGGCATGACAGCTAGCCTATGACTAACCTCCAGGTCTTCAATAAAATCCCATAGTTTCCTTTGTGATACATGTTTTTTAACTGACCTTCGTGGCTAGTTATTACAGATCTCGGTACAGTATTATATCCTGACTTTTTGTAGACACAAAGCTAAATTTCTTGGCGGCCAAGAGCTAGCTCCTATTTAATCTATGGCACTTAGATGGACTTGTGCACGCAAGTGTGACCCTATTCTACTCTCCTTGAGTCCCTAAAAAAACAGTTAATGCAAAAGGTGGATCCTTCTCTTGCTCATTACTTTTTGTGACTTATTCTTGTGGTTAAGACTTAGGTTACAAAAGTAGGCATAGTAAAAAATGTTCAGAGACTTGAGCAGCATGGAATAGGATCACAATTAGGGTACATAAAATGTTTGGGGAGGGTAGTGGGAGGTTAGATTACATTAAAAATAGCCATCCAATCTAATTTAGTTTGCCCAGGTGTGGAACCTACTCTTAGATCCCTAATTAGTTAAGTTTAAGTGCAAACTGTACAGACATTCAGGACAGTTAGATCAGTCTAATAGTGGCTGATCTGATCTAAGCTAAGGGTAGCTCCAAGGTAGTCTAACTTAGATTGGGTCCAGCAAGACCGATCTAATTGAACTTCTGTACAGTTCCTATTGCAGCCCTGGGCTTGGGAAAGCCCAGCCACTGGCCCCAGCCCCAGGGCTGCGCTTTTCCTGTAAACCCCTCCCCTCCTGGCGCCGGGCTGTTTTTAGCCCCTTGGCCCTTTGCCGTGCCATTAGATGCGCAACACCTACAACAGACCAGCCAGACCCCCTGACCCTGACAAACCCCCCCATCCTGCAAGTTGTCCCTGGTGCTGGTTTTACTGGTGTTTACTGTTGTGGTGAGCCAAGGAAGTAAGTCTGGAGGGGTAAGTTCACCTGGGGGAGTTGTTTGCCTATGTGTTGAGGCCCCTGGTTCCAAGGGGGTGGCAGAGAGAGTCCCCCCACCCCAGACCCTGTTAACCCCCCTGATCCTGCCAAACCCGGCTAGACCCTGTTGAGTCTGAAATCGTCTTCCAGGAGTTTGTGGCCATTACTCCTGGTTTTCCCCAAGGGTGCCCTGGTGAACAGTTGTTCACTGAGCTTTTGATGTACTCCCCTAATATACCAGCAAGCTGCTACCAAGTCCCCTCTCAGCCTTCTCTTTTTCAGGCTGAAGAGTCCCAGGTTCCTCAGCCTTTCCTCATATGGCTTGCCATGAAAGTCTCTGATCATATGGGTGGATCTTCTCTGGACTCTCAAGCTTGCCCATGTCCTTGCTAAAGTGCGGCACCCAGAACTGGACTCAGTACCCCAGCTGCGATCTCGCTAGTGCTGAGTAGAGCAGAAGAATCACTTCCTTGGCTTTGCTGGAGATGCATCGATCGATGCATGCCAGAGTATTATTTGCCTTGCTGGCTACAGCATCACACTGCTGGCTCATATTCAGTCTGTTATTACCCCCAGGACCCTTTCATTTGTGGTGCTGGTCAGTTTGGCGCTGCCAAGCCTGTAGGTGTGTAGGGGATTGTTCATCCCCAGATGGAGCACTTTACATTTCTTGATGTTGAATTTCACCTGGTTCTGATCCACCCAACTTGTTAGCCTGTCTAGGTCTGCCTGTATCTGTAGCCTATCTTTAAGCATGACCATGGTCCCCCATAACTTGATGTCATCTGTGAACTTGGTCAGTGAGCTCTTCACCCCCATATCCAAATCATTGATAAAGATGTTGAAAAGTACTGGACCAAGCACTGACCCCTGTGGGACACTGCTGGCCACTTCTTGCCAGGACAACACAAATCCATTCATTAGGACTCTCTGGGTCCTACCCCACAGCCAGTTTCCTACCCACCTAACTGTCTCAGAGTTAAGCCCACAATCCTCCAATTTTCTCGTGCGGGCATTGTGGGATAGCAGATCAGATGCTTTCTGGAGGTCAAGGTATACAATGTCAACCTCCTCTCTCTTGTCCAGGTGGCTAGTTACCTGGTCATAAAAGGAGATGAGGTTGGGAAGGCAAGACCTGCCCGTGACAAAGCCATGCTGGCTGTCGTTTAGAATCCTACCTTCTGCAAGCTTATCGCAGATAGACTCCTTGATGTATTTTTCCAGGATTTCCCCTGGGATAGAAGTTAGGCTAATTGGCCTATAGTTACCCAGGTCCTCCCTCCTCCGCTTCTTGTGGATGGGCATGACATTGGCCCTCTTCCAGTCCTCAGGGACATCTCCAGAGCACCATGAGTTGTGGAAGAATTTCACCAGAGGTTCTGCGATGACTTCGGCCAGCTCCTTCAGCACTCTCAGATGAAGTTCATCCGGTCCCGTTGACTTATATGTCTAATTTTTTTTAATTGATAAGACACCAATTATGTGGTAATAATAGGGATGTGGTCATTCCTACCCTGCTCATTCTGTACTCCCCTGGCATGACTCTCCCCTGGCCCGGTAGAAATACCGAGGCAAAGTAGTCATTCAGGAGTTCAGTTTTCTCCTGAATGCTAGTAACCAGATGTCCTGAGTTGTTGAGCAATGGTACCACACTCCCATTTGTTTTCCTCCTGTTCTCTATGTATCTAAAGAAGGACTTCTTGTTTTCCTTGATTCCTGTTGCTGATTTAAGTTCAGTT